TTGTCTCTGTATGACGAGTAGATCGTAGATAATCTAGAACGATGGATACAAGTCGAATGAAGTTGGAGATTAAAAACTGGTGTCAACACTTTCTTAGAAACTTAATACATTCGGTTTGCAAACTATCATTGCAAGTCTAGTAAAGAGCAATCAGTTTCAAGGTGATTGAGGCAAAGCAAAAAAAAAGAATTCCCCAATCATCGTACAGGCAATGTAGCCATCGCTATCTTCCTTTCCTTTTGCTGTAATCAGCAACCAATCGAGGAGATTGGTTTTTTTCCTCTGTCGGTTAATGTAAGTCATAATGCACTCTGGATGATCCTTGAGGGTGAGGATGAGGGTGAAGTGAGAGCTATCACTCTCACCTTCATCCTCAGCATACTTCAACAATACATTCGTAAGAAAAGAATTTGCTCGAAAGAATATTTCACCATCTCAACAAACGCGTCATACAAGCAATGAATTTTAGTAGATCTAACTCTCGCTCTTTTGCCATTTTTGGGTGTGAGTGTAGGTGTGGGTATGGGTGAGTGTGGGCTGATATGGTTCGGAGTTTGAGTGGGACTGTGAATGAAAGCAAAGAGAAGACCAAATCCTGCGTCTGCATGAACATCTAGAGATCTTTTACACGCTTTCTTGTATAATCAAATTATCTCATAATCATAAATTTATTTTTCATTATTCAGACAACTCTCACTAAATTTATTGATAGAAGATTGTTAAACCCGAAGAAAACTCTGTTTCATATTAAAAAAAAGCCTTTTCTAACTAAGAACTAGACATAGTTAACTACATTTCTATTTCACTCTAATTTGAACTAAAAACACAATTATTATCCGTAAGAAGTGAAACGTTTCGAACATAGTGTATGCTCAAAGTTTTTTATAAGATACGCATCTGGAAGCTAAAAATGAAAAAAGACTAGTTTTGTATGTGATTTACATAAAACACAGCCAGTACTTCGTTGTTCGAGCTCACATTTTGCAGTGTGTAACAGTGATGTAGTTCAGAAAAAATTCATAGCTTGCGTAAAAAAAACGTTCATTTGACAAAACATGTGTATGTGCATCTTCATTGAAATGCTCTTTTTGAAAGAAGAGTTTTAGAGTGGCTTTATTGGAAAAAAATCCAATCATGAGCCTGAAATATTCACGAAAAAGATATTACATTGTCAGTTTATTAACGGCTGAAAATGTTTGATAGACATATACTGTTTATCGCCGCAGGTGAAGGGAAGCTTTAACGGATTCTAGTTAATCTAACCCAAATTGTCTGTCTAGTTCTTCTTTATTGGTTATGAAGGATCCTCACTTCAAGTCATTGTCAATGTATGATTCAATATTAATTTATAGAAATTCAGTGTTTGCTCAAAATCTTTTTTTAAGTCGGTTTGATTAAGAAAATGTTATTATTAGCCGACGACAACGACGAACACTACTGACGCTTGTACAAGAATTGAGGTATACTATTCTAATCTATCAATCTAACGGAAGACGAAAAAGTAATTTGAGCCTATTCAAGTCCATGAAATGTGAATCTCGGGTAGGCTTGAGTCCAGCCAAGCCTTGTGGCTTCATTCCTTATGTTCTCATCGATTTATAAACAAAAAATACAACTGTTACATTATAAAAAACACAAACACGAAAAACTTAATAACATCATTAGTCATCTGTTTCATTTTTCCTCTTGTAAAAACACAGTGCGCCACTGTCTGTTTGATTTTTTCTTTTTCTTTTTTTGCTTTGCTGTCTGACCTTCACATTATACATGTATATTTGTGCAATTTCGAAGTTGGAAAAAAACATTGGAAGTGTCTTCTCGATTGTTTGCTCGATTTTTTAATTATAAAGCACATTTTACGAAAGTAGCTACTTGACAATAAATCCTTCAAAAAGAAGCGATATGGTGAATTATATATAAACAACTCTGTACAAAATTCTCCAGATTCTATTCGTAACTGTCCAAGAGTTATTCTTTTTTATAATTTATCTCATACTATCAACTTATGCAACGATCAATAATGTGCAGTGATTTTTCTCTCTCTCACATACTTTGCAAGTCTTGCATCTAATGTTTTATAAGATGGCTCATCGATGTAAAAAGAACCAATAATCATCAAGGGCGATGAACTACGCTAGTACAAACACAGCCAAAGAATGAAACTTACGTCTGGTTGATTTTTTAGGCTTCGTGGATCCTATTATATGAAAAAGTGAGACTCGTTTCCTAGTTATTTTTCTCTTCTTACTTCTTTTTGGTTTGAAAAAATCAACTGTTGTTTATCATTCGTGAGTCATATTCGCACGCTGTATTTGAAGCATGTTTTATGAGTCCAAACTTTATTTGCACTTTTTTAATATTTATTTTTAGAATCTAGAGTTAGACGGCTTTTGAATATATATATATTTCAAGAATAAAATCTAAGCTATCATTCAAAAAATATCGCACTGCAGCTACATCTATAGTAAGAAGCTCGTATATTGGTAAATATGTTAAAAAACGTTTGATAGTGTTTTTTACTCTTCGTTAACTAGGATTGCGGAAAGTGACAGATACGCACCTAATAACTCATTAAAAGTCATTTTTATCGTTCTTCTATCGTTAGTTTTGATGTTGAACTAGATCTACGTAGTCATCAGTCTTATATAATTAATGGGGACCTCTTCCATTTTCGCGTTTCTGGAGAACGATTCATCAGAGAAATTTGAAACTTTCAGGATAGACAGATCTCGACTATTAGAGCAAAATTTGTCTCGAACTCAAAATTTCCAAATTCTTCCTTCTAGGCGATATCGGAGTTGTGAGGATTAAAAATCGCTCCTCTAATGATTTCCCTTTCTAAGCCGCAACACATCCCATACAACTGAAACTCTTTTTACGTATACTAGGTACTGTTTAGGCATACATGCTTTTTTTACTGGAGCTTTTTCTGTGAATTTTGCCAAAAATGATCAGGACAATATTATTCAAAATGAAAGAAAATAGGCACCGCAAAACAATGTCTAGTATCTGTGAAACTTTCAGTTCGATCGAACATATTGTGCTGGAGAAACAGGGGCGACACTGTACTTTTTTGGTGTAAAAACAGGTTTCGAGGAAAACAAAAAAGAAAATTTTTCATATGTATTAGAACTTTTTTTGTCCAACTAGCTTCACAGAAAACTGACTATATTCAGTGGTGTTAGGAGTCTATGACCAATGCTGTTAGTACCTTTGCAATGATAAATGATCATCATTATTAGGAAAATTTTGAATAGAGTAGGTAAACCATGGGGCGAGTTTTCTGCTATGGATTTGGAAAGTTGGACTTAGTAAATGTACTAACTAACAACGAAAATTTCTCATTTATATGCTATTTCACCGAAGGCGCATCAGGGCTATGTTAGGGATGACAAACCAAAAATCGAAAAAATTTTGATTTTCATGTTCGGGAAGGGGAAGGCGATGCTTAACATAATAATAATGAAGCATTGTGGCAGACCAGGCTGTTTTCCGCCCCCCCCCCCCCCCCGTCCATCCATGCTCCTTGAATCCGAAAAAGGCTTTATGGGCCTCATATACATTACATCAAGTTTTACTAAATCTTAAAAGTATTTATGCCAACTTTATAACCTAGGGTGTGGGTGTGAGTGTGGGTGTTATTGTACTTTTGACACTCCCACACCCCATCCACTCCCACACTTCACCCACGACAACACCCACACTCACATCCACATCCTGCCGTCTACCAAGCTCATCCTCACTTATTTACGATTCGCTATTAAGGTCAATTACATAGCAGTGATGATGACCCGAATACTGCTTGGATGCGTCTCATGATCGATGAACACATTCTGATTTCGAATTAGTTATTTCCGAACAATGATGAACGCTTCAAGATGGAAAACTTTGCTGGTGACGGTACTGGTGAGATGGACTGGCGTAGTGGTATTTCTGTATTTGTTCGAAAATCTATTGTGATATTTTTCTGCTCTAAAACAGAGGTTGCATATCTCCCATCTGGGATACATTCTCTCAATATCGTAGTCCGAACAGCAAAATGGCTACAACTAGAAGGTTTTGAATTGTCGATTGAAGTGATAGACCTTCCGGAAGATTCAACAACAAATCTGTCACTCTTGCTACCCTGGACATGGAACAAATGATCTAAAAACTGACATCACGTTCTATTTTGAATTACTGCAATATTTATGACTGGCCTTCTGCTATGTATCTCCGAAAATCTTGTATTTTGATTAAAGATAGGACGACTGAGTTCCGCATCCAATGTTAGAAACTAACGCCTCTTCGCCATCTATTTTAGAAGATCTCACACGCATACAAAGAGATCAGAAAAAAGTAGGCTACACCACATGCCATAACACGTTGGTGTTGTAATGACGAGTAAGCTTGCTGAGCGGTCGAAGAAATCAGCTCAGACAATGAGGGTATAGGTGTGATTGTGAACGTGAGTGTATGTCTTTGGTATATAGACTCACTCTTTCATACTCACATCCACCCCTACGCCTGCACCCTCACCCATATCCATACTCAATGGAGAATTTGAAGGCTTTTCGATTGATCCTGTCTTCAAGTCGAACAATAGTTAATGATTTGGAGCATATTTTACCAATATCGGTTTTATTGCAACATCTCTCGAAACTAAGAAAAATTTAACAAGAGCCGTCATAAATTTCCAGTCGCTGTAAACAGAATACCATTTATCATGAGCTAATCTCCTCATGTTTATATTAAGCGTGATATGAACTTTAGAATGCCAACGAGAACTCGCTGTATCCATCTAAAAATAGGGTTATATAACTTGCATTTGAAAAAAACAAGCACAAGATAGCATGTGACATCGCTTGCTGTCATGCATCTGAACTTAATCACAGAACATCACGTTGTAGGCATGAATAAGTATATCTATGTTTTATCTAATGAAATATTCATAGAGCAAATTGATTTATTCAAATTATATTTTCTAATATATACAAAAAAAAAGAAATATCTATATGAAATTAAATAATTGTATTCAATTTTGCATAACGTTTAATTTCTGCAGGTAAAGGTTTTGATTCTACATATTGTTTTAATTCATCACTATTAATAACCATAATCATTGTATGTTCACTACTTAGTGGTTCATCTACTGAAGCATATCGACCAACATAACGTCGAATAAAACCTCGTTCAATTAAATGAAGAAATGTCTAAAATAAAAATAAAAAAAAGGAACATATGATCTCTTATTAATTCTCATGAAAAAAACAAATTTTTAATTTTAACCTTTCGAACAACTGCTTTATCATAAAAATATTTTTGATTTTTCAAAACATATTTCGAATATTCATGATAAATTTGATCAAAAGTAAATTTAGTATCAGTCATAATACCACTTTTATTTTCTTCATCATCATTATCATCATCATCACTTTCATTTGTTCCATTAATTTTATTTTGTAATTTTTCATCTATACGTTTAATAACATTATTTGTCATTAAAAGTAATAATAATTCTAAATGTGTTAAACAACCATCTAATTGTTGATCTGGTCGAGTGTTTTCATTCATATTTATATTTGAATCTCGTAAATAATGAATTATTTTTTGTTCAATATTTGTTAATGAATTAAATAAATCATTAGGAATTTGTATATCTTTTTTTATTTTATATAATTGAAGAATATATTTTGTATATTCATCAATTGATGGTGATGATAATATATAATAAATTTGTGAAAAACGTGATTTTAAACGTTTTTCAGGTAATTCAAGACAATCAGAACGATTTGATATAGCTATTGTTAATATTGAATAACTTTTTTGATTTAAATAAACAGCATCAAATAATGTATAAAGTATAGAATTTAATTTTTGATATGTAAATTGTTCAAAATGATCAAGAGTAAAAATAAAAAAAGCTTTTTTATCTTTTTTTTCATTTGATATTGTTTCAAGTAAAATCTGAAGATTATCACATTGATAATCATTTGTAGTTTTTTGTTGAATATTATATTGAGATAAAATTTCTTGTATAGCTAATGATTCAATAGAATGAATTAAACCATTTAAACGAAAAATAAATAAACGTTCATTAAGAGAAATATCTTCATTATAAACTTTATTGAAAATATATTCGAGTAATTTTGTTTTACCACAACATGGTGGACCAGCAACAAGAACAGTTTCACTTTTATTTTCTGTTATATGACGACGAACAAATTGAGAAAATTGTTCAAGAAATAAATCAATTGTTGAATTAATAAAAAGAGATGATGATACAGGAGAAGGTTTGGCAGTTGCTCGAGATGGTTGTCGTCGTAAACTCATATTTAAATGTTAAGAATAAAGAAAAATCTGAAATAAACCATATGATGTCTGTAATATTTGATTTCAAAGAGACAAAAACAAAAGATTTGAAGAGAATTATTTATTCTCTAGAATCAGATAGATTTTGATCTACTGCACAAAAAACTATCATTTAAATTGTATGTGAAATTCTTTCACCAACAGAAGATCAAGTGTGGCGTCATCTATAAGAGAATTTTCAAGATGTAAAGATTTCGAATGATTGTAAGTTTTTATATGATAAAAATTAATATAGAATTAGAAAAAAAATGATCTTTGAAAGCATCGTTTTATTGGTTATTAATATTCTTTGTCTGGGAAAATATGAAATGAATCATGTTTTTCTTTCTTCTTCGTTCATTTCATTAGTTTGCAAATATGGTGAACGAGAAACTTATCTTGTTTGGTGTATGTAATCAATTTAAATTATTAATTGTTATATGTTAATTCTTAAAATTTAGATCAATTCTCTTATCACTACACCACTTGAACCAGTTAAATCAATCGAAGAATTTCGAAATGCTGAACATTTTCTTAATATTATTTCTCAGATGTAGGAAAAATTTGTTTGTTTTTATTTAAATATTATTGATTTATTTAGTGAAGCACAAAAGTTCTCAGAATCACGTATTAATATTCCACCATTAAGTGATAATGTTCATGATAAATTTCAATTCATCCTCGAATATCTTTCAAGTATGTTAACTAAGTTCTTTGTTTTTTTCCTTCAATATCTTTTGAATTCTTCATAGAACAATCAACTTCTCCAATTACTGAATGGAATATAAATGAATTAATTCGAGGCAGTGATAGTCTTCTTTCAAAAGTAAGAAAAAGAAAAATATTGACTTTTGAAATTTTAAGTCTGCTTTCTTTTCATTTAGATGGGATTACTGGTGGTATTTGCTGCTCATGCTGATACATATTTCTATTCGAAATCACTTGATGCTGATGAAAATCAACATGAACAATTAGCAGCTCTTTTTGATTTACATATGATTGAAGGTACACAAACTAATCCTTATCAATTAAATGTTGATGCTTGTTTAAAAGACGGTAAGATCTTTTGCTTTTTTTTCTTACTAATCAAAGATATTGTCTATGCTTTGTAGATTCCGGAAGTACACAACCAAAACAAACAACACCGGTTATAAGAAAACGTCGAAATACACAAATTTGTAGTAGGTTTATACATTTTTAGTTTAGATTTATTTGTATTTTCTCTTTAGATTTAAATGATTCATTAAATAATCCAAATCGTTCATCAATACTTGATCGCAGTTTTACTCGTTCACCTGGTGTAAGATATATTTATTTTCCTGTCTTTTTGGTTTTTATTAATATCTTCTTTCCTTTCAGCAACATCAAGCTGCTGCTGCAGCAGCTACTCAACAAGCACGTGCTCTTCAAGAAGATTTATTTAAAGTTCAATATGAATTAGATGATCTTCAACATAAATATGGTGGTCTTGAAAAAAGTTATCATGAATTAAGTAAATATAATCATTTATAAAAAATTTTATTTAATCTTTCTTTTAATTTAAAGGAGAAAAAAATCGTGAATTATCTGAAAAAGTTCTTCGACAAACAGATTATGATACAATTAAAGATGAACGTAATAAACTTCGTGAAGATGTTCATCGATATGAAATTGACAATAGACGGTAAAAAAATTGTTTTTGTTTTTTGTTTTGATTAATATTTTTCTTTATTTTATTTATAATAGACTTCAAGGTGTAAAAGAAAATGTTTTAGATTTACAACAACGTCTTCAACAATATCAAAAGAAAAATGATGAAATGCATGAAAAAATTGCTACACTTGAAAGAAAAGTTAGTTTTTTGTTTCAAATAAAATACGAAGAATCTTTTTTTGTTTTTTCATTATTTAGCTTCGCGAATCTAAACAACAATCTGATGAATATAGTAAAAAAATAGTTAATCAAAATGCTGATATTCTTCTTTTATCATCAGCAAATGAACGTGTAAAAATGTTAGAAATAGAAAATCAACAAATGAAAATTATAAAAGAACAACGTGAAACAGAATTATTAAGACAAATTCGTCATTTACAAGATGATAAAGAAGAATTACAAAAAAAACTTGATGGTAATAAAAAGAAATCTATATATATATAATGTTCAGTGTCGGTCTGACGTCACTGTGCCCAGGTCAAATAAGGCTATACGGGGAAGGCTATAAGTGCTGCTATATTAGGATACCCATAGATCTTCAAGGGATAATAGGTTAAGGCTACAGGAACATAAAAGATGAAACTAAAAGAGTATAAGGGTATAGTGAATAAGTAGATGAAGCTGCATGAAATATAAGGGATAAAGGAATAAGGTTATAAGAGGTAATACCACGAGAGTATAAGGCTATAAGGTCTCTCGATATATATATAATGCGAACTATCTGATTGTCTATTACCGAATCAAGGCTAAAGGACAGATGTGAAACTTTACAGGAAAAAGCATCCGTACAGTATGCACGAGTTCTCGCTAGTATATTTTGTATTGTTTTTTCGTATATAATAAAATTAAATTTCTAAAATTTTAGAACCAATGACAACTATTGAAACTCCATTAATTGTAGCAGAAAAACGTGCATTAGAAGAAGAATTACATACACTTAAAATGTCATATTATGATCGACGTGAAGCTGATACAGAAATTGAATCATTTAAACAAACAATAAAACAACTTGAAGAAAAAATTGAACAACTTAGAAATGAATGTCAAGAATTATATAAACAAAAACATGAATATGCTGAACAACAAATTACACGTATGTATTATTTATGTGTAATTATAACAATGTTTTCAATTGAAATTTCTTATCTAAGATAATATTCATTCATGAAATTGCTAATAAAAAAAACAAAAACAATAGAATTTTGTTAATACTCGTGTTTTTTTTTTCTTCTATATTTAGTTCGAAATGAACTTAATGCACAAATTGAAACATATGAAAATAAATTGAATGTATCAACAAAACTTGTCGAAGAATTGAAACGAGAATATGCTAAAACAGTAAGATTTTTTGTTACATCAAACAAGATTGAAGTTTTTTGTGTGGATCTACTTAATTCAAAATCTTTGTATATAGAAGTCATTCATATTTTAATAATTTTTATTTTTTGTTCTAGAGTGATGAATGTAATCTTCTTCGAAATGAAATAATTTCTTTAAAAAGTAAACTTCATAGTCAAAGTAATGAACTTAATTCTGAAATTGTTAAATCATTTGATTTACGACATCAACTTGGTTTATTTAATGAACATATTTCATTAAAATCTACTGAAATTATAAATCTTTTAACAAAAATTGATTCTTTAAAAGTTGAAATTGATCATTTAAAACTTGATCGTGATACATGTCAATCACGTTTAATTGATTTACAAATACAATATGATAAATTAACAAATACATGTTCAATGTATGAAATAAAATTAAATGAACAAGAAGAACATGAAACTCAACTTAAATTACAAGTACAACAAGTACGTGAACTACATGAAAATATTGTACAAGAAAAAGTACGTTCACAAACAGAATATACAGATGCACAAATAAGAGTTACAAAAGCTGAACAAGCATTAAAAGATAAAATAGAAGAAGTAGAAAATGTAAGTTTTAATAATAGATATATATCTGAAAATTTTTCTAATGAATTTTTTATTTTTGTCTAGTTAAAACGAGCTACAAAATTATATAATCAAGATATAAAAGAACTTGAAAAATATGGTGAAGATTTACGTGAACATTATGAAAAATCAAAAGTTATACATAAAAAAGTAATTTAATGATTTGACTAAATTTTTTTTTGTACTCTGCCAAACAAGGCCTATTGGATTACAAAGTTTCTTATACAAACAATACATATCAGTGCTAATGAGGATCCGATGTGATTGAATTTTCTACAACATAAAAGACCTTGATTTTTTGAATCGATCTAGTATCTACGACTAATTTAATATCAAATGTCAGTCAATAAAATTTTTCATATGCTTGTTTTTTTTCATCTTGTAATTTGAAGAACTCATTCGTTTCAGATCGATGTCTCATGCTTAAATATCCTTAATAATGCGAATTGTATCTTTTTGTTTTGTTCTTAATGAAAAAAAATTATATTTCAAAATCTGTTTATAAACATGCGGTAACTAGTAGAACCGAAATTAAAATAACGAATATTTGTCTATATGTCCACTAATGAGTATATTAATGATGACAACGGGTTACAGTACAGTAGGAAGATTTTTTAAATGTATAACCATTAATTGAAGGTAATGTTAAATTTTATACGAACAAATTTTTGTTTTTTGCTAAACTTAGCATCAGAAATAAATCAATGAAAGTTTGATGAAGGCTTTATACTAAGTGTGATTATTTAGTCAACGATTGTTGATATAAGCCGAAAAACAAAACAGCATAAGTGTTATATTTTTGACAATTAGAAGTACAAAAGTAAATTTTTATTGATGTAATAGAACAGTTAATTTCTTTAGTAGGACATAAGAAAAAAAAGTGTCTTCAAGAATCAATTTCCAAAATTATCGAACTTCTTTGCTCAAATTTTAAAATTAGTAACGTGCAGAGATGCGTCAACCACATGGAACGATAACCTGCGTTACCAAATATGATGATACTAGCGAGAGCTCGTGCATATTGCACAGCTATTTTTTTCTTCAAACGTATGACCTCCAGCGTTAAGCTTTACATCCGGTAGTAGACATACAGTCATTCGCTATTATATATAGATAGATAGCCCGATGGCGCATATTTTATATCGCAAATATTTTATAGTCCATGTAGCCTTCGGTCTTATAACCTTATATCCCTTATAGCCTTGATAGCCTTATCCCCTTATTTATTGCCTTACCCACTTATTGGTTTACTACCTTCAGGGCTTATGGATGTTCCATACGACTGCCCTTGAAGACCTATGGATCCCTTCCCTTGTAGTCTTATTTAACCCTTGACGCGGCACAGACACACACTAAACATTATATATAGATTATATTGAACATTCTTTTAGACTGAACAAGAATTAAATGAATTAAAATCTGTTCATTCAAAAATCTTATCAGATTACGAAGAATTACAAAAACAATGTTCACTTCTTAAAACTCGTTGTCATCAATTAGAAAGTGAACGTTTACCATTAATTGCTCAACTTGAATTTGCTGATAGAAATTTACGACAAGTTAAAAAACAACAACAACAACAACAACAAACAGCAGCAATGACAACAAGTACAACTGTTCATCATCAACCACCTACATCATCAAATCCTATTTTACAATCAATTGAAAATAATAATAATAAATCTGTTTCACGTCTTATTCGTTCACCAAGTCTTGATATGCGTGTTATGCGTCGTACAAGTAAAAGATTTTCTTTTTTTTTGTTCTGTTGAATTATTTTTTGAAAATTTTTATTTTTCTATATTTTAAGATGATAAAATGGATGATACACGATCATTAGATCATGATGATTTAGCATTACTTTTACATAAAAATCAATCATTTAATAATTTTCCTTTGTAATAGAGAAATCAAAAAATTTCTTAAAAATAAATTTTTAATTTTTTTTTTATGTTTTAGAAATGGTCGTTCAACTGATCATTTAACAAAATATAGTAAATTATTTTTCTATTCGTTTTAATTTTTATTATTTCTTATTTAAAAGATATTGAAAATGAAGATGAACCAATTCATCTTGATTTGGGTCCTGTTGATTATAATCGACGAATAACAGAATTGCAACGTCGAAATCTTAGTCAACCAAAACATTTACGTACAGCATATGCACTTGAAACAATGGAACATGATCCCGATGATTTTTCGGCAAGTTTTATTCGTAAAGGTGCTGGAATTACTGATGAACATTCAACAACACGACAAAAAATTATTAATGAAAATCAAAAAGGATCAGAAGTAAGAATTTTTCTTTGTCATTTATTATTGAAATTATTTATTTTAGACACCAAAAGCTTCTCGTTTCAAGAATTTATTTCATCGAAAATGAAATCTTTTTTTTTTTTTGGTTCAGTCTAATAAGAAATGTATCTTGATGATTGTTACACTTTATTCTAATGCCAATTTATTCTTTTCTTACTATAAATAAAATTAAATGTTTAACTATAGAAAAATATTCTTATTGTAATCTTCAACAAAACCAATGACAAAACTATCTGCTCGTCGAACAATCATATCAATGTTATGATAGAAGAAATCATTAGGATTGAACAATAAAGCACTCTTTCGCATCTAGCTGCTATCAATCAGTTCATCGACTTACATCTCTAATTATGATGTTCGTCAAGTTAGATCGATATTACACACACAAGTGCATTTGTAAAATAACAATTAACCATGGTTGCACGAGAATAGATTCGACAAAAATGCAAAGAGTTTCTTGAATTGAAAACTGTTTTTTACTAGCAGAAAATAATTATATCATTTTATCTTGCAAAGAGTATGTTGTAAAATTGAAAAGACCTATGCGTTTGATACATTTCCAGTTGCACAGATTGAAGAATGTGGATTTTCTATATACCGACATTCACACACATCACCTACATCACCAGCGATTGATTTTTCTCTCCTGTAATAAAAGTTATCATGAATGTGTAAATAAAAGATTTATCTATTGTTAATATAATTCAATTGTAATTTGAAACTTACATTGTTATTCTATAGAATTATAAATAATAAGAAATCGATTGAAATTTATTTTGCTGAATAGAATATTGTTAGAGAGCACTCTAACAATATATGTTTTGTATATGTGTATATGTTATGTACATTGTGTCTTTCACTCTCTCTTCTCCCTTTACGACTCATATTCATTCGTCCGTGAGAGTTATTGAAACTCTCACAATCATATTCTTTGTCCACGCATGCCTAGTCAACTATATATATATATATTTCTTTCTCTCTTTGTGTGGTCGGACGTGTGTATGTATATATAAAGTGATGGAATTTGTGTGGTTAGGGATGACTTATGTTAGTGCGTTGTAATAAAGTAATTTTTTCTCCAATAAAGTTACTCATCTGTAACAAATATACATTTCGATAATACATGCATTGTTTCTTCTTCTAGAGTGAATATAAAACCGAACAGATCGCAAACCTTATCACATAAAAAAAAGCGATCAAAATCGACTTAAAATAAAGAATATCGATATAGAATTCTAAACTAATTAAAAAAAAAAGAACTATTTCTAATTAACAGGAAATAAAACTAAAATGTATATTCGACATCAATTACTTGTTTTGTTTTTCTATGGTCAAAGAAAACAAAAAATTAAAATTTTTTATTTATTGTGATTTAATTTTGTGAAGTTTTATCTAAAGCAATTAGTTCATTTTGCTTATAAAGTTTTATTTCTACTAAATATTTTCTTCTAAGAGAATTTTTTAAGATTAATTCATGCATTCCAAGCTCAACTAAGACATAATCATTATAAAGCATGATCGAGAGTCCTTTTAGCTCGTTTATAGAATTCTTCGGAAGCCAATAAATAGCTGGAGTTTAATTGTTACTTTAAAAAGCTTTTGGCTTGATCCTCGTTAACTTGTACTTAGCTGGTGATTTGAACTTATTGATTTCGAGTCTCTGAATCTCTTCAATAAATGTATTGATGACTATTACATTCATTACACAAGCTCAGCAACATTCATTTTATTGAAAAATTCAGAACTAACAACAAATGAAGAACGAAAACTTGTCGTTCAAATAGAATAGAGATTCAATGATATATTTGCGTGATTTCAACAGTTTCTTGAGTAAAAATACACTCGATAGAATTAAATTGATATCTATTGCAAGTAGAAATGTTATAATTGAAATATATTACTAATTGTTGATGCTTTGTCATTTCCGAAATCACTCTTATTGGTCGTATTGTGATAAGAAATGTTCCATCTGTTTTCTATCCCACTATGATACTGTATGTGAAATTGCGCCGATGACGAATGATAAGGTTTGATTTTATCAATATAAGTTTGACAGAGATGAGACTGCTTTAAACACAATAGAAGACATGATGACTAGATCGATTCTAGTATGGATTCTATTATTGATCGATATAACAATAAGTCAAATTCCAAACCCTGATCAATATCGATTTACATTGACAACGAATGGTATTGTTCAAGAACGTTACGCTATCGATATGACTGCGGGTAAAATGTCTCGAATGTGGTTCTCAAATACTGGCGACGAAGAGTTCAGTGGAAATCAAGACATCTATGTACGTGATGACAAGCTTACCTATTTATTCAATTTTATGTCGCAACCACGTCAATGTATTGCTAATAAAGTAGGACCGCCTAATGAAATGTTCTATTGGTCAAATCTCGTTCGATCATGGGGTGGTGAAAAAAAAATTTATGATGAATTAATATTTGATGCTGATTGTGATGGTACTTGTTTGACATGGAAAGTCGAAGGAAATTCTACCTATGAACATGAACATTATCATTACATTACTCGATTGTATGTGAAAAAAGCCGAACAGAAACCAATTAAACTTGTTATGAAAACCTTCGATCTTGATACAGGAAAATTAATATCATCAAGTGACACAAGATTTCTCAATTGGATAACAGGTCCCGTACCTGATTATGAATTTGATTATCCTATGGATATTAGTACGTGTTATCCGACGTAAATTTTTATGTATCATAATTATATCTTCAACATAGCATTTTTTTGATAGAAAGAATTTATATCATCAAAGAAAATATCTAATAATAGCATTAAAGTGAAAACTATGAAGCTCTGTTATGAATAAATCATCGAGATTGCAGATTATGTTTTCATTCATTAATTTTCAAACTGATTCCAATAAGATTTCACACTACGGATAGACACATTGCTACTGGTTTTGTAGAGTGAATCTAGTTCATTGTGTTTTGTGATAAACAATTGACATCTCGATTGAATTCACCATTAGGATTAATATATATGTTTGCTTAATAGCTGTTGCCTTAGATACATATACAGGGTGTGTAAAAATGTTTTCCCAGGGAGGTAATGCTATGATTTTAGATAGAGTCAATAACAAATTTTATATCAAATAAAAGCGGACCAAAAATGGAATTTATCGATATTAAATAGCAAAGGCTCTGCCAATCTTTTTATATCAAATATAACAAACTTCTAGAAATTTGTTATGTTTGATATAAAAAGTTTTGTAGAACCCTTACCATTTAATACTGTTAAATCCTATTTTTGACACGCTTTCATTTGGTATAAAATTTATTTTTGACTCTATTTAAAATCATAGCGTTATCTCTCTGCAAAAAACATTTTTACACACCGTGTACTACTGAAGTTTATTTTTCACTTCGTCATAATTCATTTTCGCATCTGTAATAGGTTTTTTTGCTTTGTTTCTTATGAAATGACTCGGTAATGTTAGGCCATGGAAGAAGCGATATTGAAACAATTAATTAGAATGTCTTCTTGATCGTAACTCAATGACTACATTTTTTGTCACATGTTGCATTAGTAAAAAAAAAAAAAGAAATTTTTATTTATTAACAAGTTGAATCTATTAAGTATATTCAACTTTGATAGAAATCCTTGTAGGTTTATTTTCTTTTTATAAATTATTCTTTTAATATAAATATTTCAAAAGGAAATTAAATCTGTTATTTTATCTTCATTCAATTGTTCTTAACTGAATTTTCACATACATTTATTGTATTTTGCTGATGTTCGACATGATAAACAACACTTTTATTGTCTATTATTGATGTAAATCGATTATGTCGACCAATTATTAAACGAATAGATTTAATTAATTCTTTACGAAATGTATGAGATGTAAGTGTATATAAATAGAATGATGTAACTGGAAATAAATAAAGAATTAATTCTGCTAGAAAACTAAAAAATGATTCAATAGCTAAATGTTCACTTGATCGATTATGAAGTGTAATTGACATTGTAATAAACATTAAATTACATAATTGAGGTGTTGTAAATATAATATAACATATTATTTGTACAAATAATATATTAAGAACTTGTTGATCAGATGGATTTCGTTGATAACTACTTACTGATAATTCTATTCGTTTTTTATGTTTATATTCAAGATTTTGACGAATAAGCCGTGTACATATTATCATAATCATAATTGGAAATATACCACCTCCAATAATAACATAAAGACTATGATAAATAGCTGCTGCCATATTATTTACAATACCACATAAATTTCCTTTAATATCATAAAATATAATTCTATGAGAACAAATAATTAACCAAAAACAAATAATAATTATAATTATACGATATGCTATAGTTGATTTAGCAAAATTTCTTAAATTAACTTTATCTGAAGTTAATACATAACGATCAATACAAGCAAATGCAATAAACCAACGAGAAAGCATTAAACATATTTGAAATATATAACCACGTAATTTACAAAATAAAAGTGATTCTATTTGTGGATTAGGATAGGAGAGACTATATAATGCTGGTCCAATGCCAACAAGTAATGTCATTAAATGATCTATAGATGTTGCAAAAAAGTCTAGAAAAAAAAAGAAAATTAACATCACAATTCATGAAATATTAATAAATATTTTTGAATAGAAGTTTTTCATCTACTATAATATTAATACTTACAAATAGAACAGGACATTTTTCGTAAATGTGGACGAGAAAAAACAATGAGGTTGAGTAAACATCCGATTATGCCCAATATAAGCCATATTGGATAAAAGCAGAGAGTTAATGTTGTTTGAATAATATGAAGTGTATTAATCAAAGATGATGATGATGATGACATTTTAATATAACATTATAGTTCGTAGGAAGAGAAATACAAATAACAAGTTATAATGAAAATAATATTTGAATTATAATCAATAATTTATTTTATTCACCAATTGAATCTGAAAGAAATAAAAGTAGATAGATTAAAAATTCGTCTTATTTTCGAGTAGCCAATGTATGTTTTTCTCACATCTATCATAATTATATTTGCGGAGGTTTTTTTTTTACTTAGTACTGTCAGTTTCTATATTCTATATTTCACTTGACTGGGTACTTATATTCGTATTACTAATCAGGCTATTTTTTTTTTAGATGACATAAGAATCTCAAATAGCTGTTAGGTTATTGCTCAAAACTGACTAATCCTCTTTGAACGTTTTTTATGATGAGAAAATGCTAAGATAATAAAAAAAAAACGATTTATCAAAATAGAATACTTAGAGTGTTTTTCTTCTGACAGACAGAGACATAGTTTCTTTTTTCTTTTCTATTAGAAAAAAAGAATAATATGAACGACGCATTTTTTTGAAAAAAATTGATAATTATATTAGATAATTAAAGAGATTATGCCTAAGGTAATACTTAAGAATGATTAATCAAAGAAAGTCATCTTTTATGAAAATGAGTAGTTAGACATTCATTTTTGAACTTACAAGATGTTTTCTGTAGTATGAAGTAGGGAGGAGGAGGAGAATACTCATTGTGAAAATAAACTTTTAGATTAATAATGTATCACTGAATCATAGAATAATCGATTTTTTTTTTTTTTTTTTTGTAATATATATATATGTATTCATGCAAGAATTTTCAAGTTAAAGAAACAATATATATCAAATTGATTTCATATAAAAAGGTTCTATGAAATTTCTACGGGAAGTTCGGCAATTTGTCTGATTTCCGACATTCTTTTTATTGTTAAAAATCCGCCGGAAATTAAACAAATTGTCAAAAATCAAGTGGCAGAACTCCGGTTGTCGAAATCTCCGTTTTCTTTTAAAACATCAAGGTATTCCACTATACTCTGTAAAAACATATTATCTTAGAGAGTACTGCAGCGAATATCTATATCGAAGGTAGCGATAATATGCTACTCCTCTAGTTTGTCATTGTTAATCACAATAAAATATACACTGAATTAGTAAAGAAATCGAACAAATTCGTAGATCTTCCAGCTCGAAATCCTGTTCAATATTTGTCAGTTGGATACAATAATTCTGTAGCATTTTTCCAACTAGTTCTGACGAAATTCGCTCGTTTGCAGAGGTCAGAATCATCAGATTGAAATTCATTCAAATGATCAGATTTTTTTTTTGGTCATTTATAGAAGTTTATTTCTCATGCGAATAATTGACTATTAAGTAACCTTGTTGAGCTGATAAAAGAAAGTCTACGTGTTGTTATTAAATAAGAAATATAGGTGTGTAGCACCTCACAATGAAGATTACGACGTTTGTTAATGGTGGTAAACGATCGTATATGACCGTTTACACTGGAATTTGTTCGTTTTATACGGTTGTACTACTATTGTCCATTTCAGAGTTAAATAATCGTGAACATTTTTTAAATAACTTTGAAATAGAAAGAGAGAGAGGTAACCTAAATTTTTCGTTCTATTTAGAATCGACATTGCTCTATCTTTTTACAAAGTCGATAAAAAATTTCAGTCGCTTTTCTTTTCGCTTTGAAACCAATATACTTTCTCAACTTTAATATAATGGATAGATAGCTCAGGTCTCCCTCTATCAATCTACGTGAGGCCGAGAGCGAAAGTGATTTGCATTCAAAAGATATAAAGATTTTTCTGAAACCTACTTATGACATATTTTTCAAAATTTTAGTAGTTAACACACATTGTATACTATAAGTTTTTAGTGATCTTTGTCTTCGTTACGTGATTTGTTAACCTTCGGCATATTTTTTCTACTAAAGAATGTTATCAAAAGCCATACGTTAAACTTATTCTAATGATAATGAATTAACATATTCAGAAAGTTTTCTTCAATCTTTATCTTATTGCTGTTCTCATTGGAATAATTCTTTGAATCCGAATCAGTGAGCCAAAAAGAATTTTAAGATGTTCATGTAAATTCACCATAGAAGTTATCAATTATCGGTATCATCACCGTTATGATCATTTAGCTCTTCTTCTATTTCTTCAACATAAATATCGCCCTTCTTAAATATTGTCTCATATTGTTGGACGTAACTAATGTAACTGGTTGCTTTCGTCGCATCTAAGCCATAAGCTTCTCTTGTTCCAGTTTGCTCACTTCAGTTAAAGTAAACTTGATGTTTCTATCATGTATATATGTTTTCAGATGGTTCCAGACGAACTCTATACGATTCAAGGCACAAATGACTCTTCGAAGAGATGTGGGTGAGATGGTGTCTGAAGAAAAAAAGATACCTATGCTCACACTCTTACTCACACTACTTCTTCACCCCACACACAAAACATCAAATGATCCTCCGTCACGCTTTCTGTAGGAAAAACTTTAAAAATTAATAAATTGTGTAACGAAGAGAAAGACCACTAAAAATGTATAGTATGCAACGTGTGTTAACTGCTAAGATTTTGGCAAAATATTTCGTAAGTATAACCTTCAGAAAAATCTTTATATCTTTTGAGTGCAAATCACTTTCGATCTCGACCTCACGTAGATCGATAGAAAGAGACTTGAGCTAGCTATTCGTTATATTAAAGTTGAGAAAATATGTAGGTTCCAAAGTGAATTAAGCTTATCTTCAAAAGTCCTTACGTATTCATTAAAAAAAGTGACTGGAATATTTAATCGACTTTGTAAAAAGATAGAGCAATGTCGATTCTAAATAGAACGAAAAATTCAGGTTATCTCTCTCGTTCTATTTCAAAGTTATTCAAAAAATGTCTACGGCCATGTAACTCTGAAATGGACAATAATCATCTACTACTCGTTAGTGACAAGTAAACAGTACCAACTACTACCAACCAAGAGTTAGTAAATGATAATAAATAACATTATTTTCCTAGTTTTAATTTATCTTCTTATAATTGAAGCGAAACGAAAAAATATTGTTAGAACGTGTTTTTTGGAAAAAAACCATGAAATTTACGTTTGAAAGTGGAATCAATACTGATGAACATTTTAAAAAATAAACATGCACAGAGAATCTAAATACATCCACAGTTATCATTAACTAGGTCGTGCGGGACAAACTTTCTCGTGTCTCGAAAAATTTTCGGGACAATTACGAATGTTCAACAGGCAAACAGGGTTTTTCGGAATTTAGGACTGTTCCGCAGTATCTATCATTAACTCTCGACATGGTTTCCAATTGTTTTGAAAAGTGAGAGAGGCTAAAAATTCGGCAGAAAGTGCCTCATCTGATTTTCTGGCAGAAATTGAGCAAAGAATGCGAAATGTATCGACTGTCTGCGAGATTTTAATGCTAGAAAGCATTTTTATTCGACTTTCTACCAGAAAAATGGTGGTTGCTATTTAAAAACTGTCTTTATTAAAATTTTCATTCATGAACAAAGAAGACCTGGTAGCAACACTAATTTTTCTTACTTTTTAAAAGGATGGTTGTAGATGAAACGAAAACCAGCCCACATCCTTCACAAACGTTCAAATTCAGTGTCAATTTAAAAAAAATATTACAATAAATAATAGTTCCGAAATAAAGAATTCAATTTTGATTTGACGAAACAAAAATTCTAACTATCAAAAATTGTGATTAGTACATCAGTTTTCTATTGTCGAAATAATTTCTTTGATATTCAACAAATCCAAATGGATTTCTGATTCCATTGATAATTCCGATGATTCCGAAACCTAGATTTTCTCCATCAAAATCTAACAAATCGAATTATGCATGATTGAGATTAATGCATTTGAGAAAGTCGGTTCTTTTCCTTTCTATTCAAATAAAGATTGAGAGATTGAAAAAAATGCCATTTGTGACTGACAGAAAACAAAGTTACTCATCGTAATTTCAATTAAACAACTGTTGACATTGTAATTTCTGAAGCTTATATATCTTTCGGCAAAAATGTATTTGAAGAGTTTCACTTGTCATCACTTGAATCTATTAAGATTAGAAAAAATAAATTCTTATTTCAGTTTCGCAATGTTAATCCAAAGTGTAGGTGTTAGTGTTTTCTTAGACCAATACCTTGCCGTTGGAATCAATGATAGAACAAAAAAGAAACAAACACGAATAAAATGAACTTATTGTTGATGATGACTAGAATGTGATTCATACTGACAGAAGCATTCCTTTTTTTTGAATATTTAACTTGTCTAATAACTTTTTCTATATTGATCAAGAATAACAATAAGAAAATAAATATGAAAAAAAATATAACACTGAACAATTCCTGAATTCTTTATAGTACTCTTTGTTTGATAAAGTAAATAGCAGTCACTATAACTACGACGATGCATAGAGGATAAAAAATCAATTTCAAAACATTATGATTTTGTCCATTTTTTTCGTCGTTTCGAATCTTGAACTTTTGCTCAAGAATAAATATTTTCTCTTTTATTGTAGCTGATTTTTCTTCCATAAGTGTCAGTGTTTTTTCATTATCCTGTAGTTTTTATTCCATATCAGCTAATTTTTCACCTACAACATATAAATTAGTTTTTTTGTTTTTGGAAATTTTTGTTCATCTAGATTAATTAAAATGATACCATTTACGGATCATTCTATCAGATGTGAACAGTGAATATTTATTACTTACTTATTTGATTCAATAATAGTTGACTTTCATGAATATACAGGGTGTCTGGAAAGTAGTTCCCTATTTTAAATTCTTCTTTTTTTCTTCAATAACAAGAAATACTTTATTTTTCTTTTTTATAATTTTAAAGCATACTCCATAAGGTTTCTTTTGAGATAAGAACGAACATTAGTGGAGTGACTATTGAAGATTAAATACAACTTCTTTCTACAAAGTGCTAAAAATAGCTTCTTAGCTTTTATGTTATATTTCTTCTATATGAAAATCAGTATTCTAACAATTTTTTA